GCCGAACCAGCGCGGTAAGTATAGACAAGCCCTAAGACTTCTGTGTTCTGTTTCTGTCTGATGTTGACTTATCATGTAATACTGCTAGGTGCTTTTTGTAATACTATTTATCCAAGAACTAAAGAATTAATTAATTTCAATGTGTACATGTGGTTTACTCTGGAGCCCATGTATCTGTTTCCTGTTGGTTAAAAGGACCTGGGGTCAGAGGTGAACCTTCTTCAGATGTACAACTCAGAAGTTCTGAACAACTTAGAGTTGCTTAGGGGAACTGGGTGAAAGCTGGTAACAAGATCAATTCTATAAGCTTCTTAGGGTGTTTTGATCTCTAGTTGTTTGCTGTTTATCATCTCAACAAAATCCAAATAGGTTCTTTTAATTTTTGCCAAAGCACAATGATGCAACTCCAGATCTGAACCTCAGTTTACCCAACTGTAAAATGAGGTTGCTACGAGGGACACTGAGGTTTAGCTAACAATAATGAAGCATTTTGAAATCCTTGAATTAATTAATTAATTCTGTAAAAAGCAACAGAGGGTCCTGTGGCACCTTTGAGACTAACAGAAGTACTGGGAGCATAAGCTTTCGTGGGTCAGAACCTCACTTCTTCAGATGCAAGATACTTAATTAATTCTGTTTTTTAAAATAGATTAATTCAAAGTGGTCTAACAGTTAACAATTAACAAATAACTTTAAATACATATTGCACAACCTTTGGAATTCTTGGTCTTTTTTTCTGCTTAGCATCAGGTTGAGTTTTTCTTCAGTTTTTAAAAACAAAATTGGCACTACAAATCACATGCAAAAACATCTTAGTCTGTAACTAGCAGATTCCAATTATAAAGCTAATCTTGTATTTAATTTTGAGTGTACCAAATATAGTTAAATCTTATAATGCAAATAACTAAAAAAGACTGACAGATCTGTCTTCTAAATCCTAATGGCTTCTTCTAGCAGATGCCAGTTTTTGCATTTGGGCTGACAGAGATAAATCTGCCAACTATTCAGTATATACTATAAATTCTTCCTCCTTCCACTGTCTTAAGAATTTTTTTTCCCACTACCACACAAGCAATTAAAAGCCATCTGCTCTGAACCATTGGAAATAATTTCCCAGGAATAATGCTCAATGTATACTCTTCAGGAAACTAAACAAGTTCTGTTTCCAAGACTGATGTTATAGTAGAACAAATCTCACCAGAAAGTTTTTAAGGATAGTCCCTGAGAACATGGAATAGATCCGCAGATTCATAATTACACCCACAGCATGTAGAAGAATCCATAGCATTCTTGTTTCAGACATCTACGTGGTGTTCAGTGATGCTTGCAACAGACTTTATATTTTGTTTTCCAAAAGTAAAAGGAGGGGTGGAGGAATAAGTGGAACATGCAGTAATTTTACAGGCTTAAAACATTTCTAAGTCTGTATGTTTGCAAGCTCTTGGGACAATGAAAAGAGATGTCTTAACCAGGAGTCTCTTTACTCTGAAAGATCATGCTTTTCTTATTTGTTATAGAAATGTTATTGCTGTACTGTTTCATCTACATTTACACACTGTCACCTGCCACTCATTTTTCTGGACAGTGTTCGGTTTGCATAGTTTCTAAAGGTCCATACAACTCCTCAAACTAGGCTGCTTCTCCTTCATCTAAGTGCCTGCCAAGAGAATTATTCTTCTTCAGCTCAGGTGAGGATGAAGAGAAAGAATACACAGAGTGGGCTATCAAGATGAGATCCTGGAGAAGAACAAGTAGTGACTGGATTAGTCAGAGTGAACAGAATTTGAGGTTGAGTCAATGGGAATCTTCCTCTCTGTATTAGAAAGAGTGAGGAAGAAATACATGCATTCTAAATGGCCAAAGGCTTAAGGAATCCAAAAGGTGGAACATATGCAGTCACCCTTTCCTCAGTAAGATTTTGCTCCTCAGACAGCTCATTTGGTGAGGAGAGGGTGTTGTCTGAATAAGAGTGCAAGAGTCTGCTAAAGAAACACAGGAGTATTTCTTCCTGCCTGAGATGTTCAAGTCTGTGAAACACAGGGTAATTGTGGCACTTGGCCTCCAAACTGAGACTGCGGAGTTGAATTCTGTAGCCACAATGTGGCTTCTTCTGTATTGCCCAAAGTACCATGAAATGCCATTCATGCCTCTGTAGAAAACCTCATTCAGAGACTAGGAGCATCTAGAAAAGGATTGCCTAATAGCAATATGGCAAATTTTGTGCACTTCAGAAGAAAAATATTGCTCCTTTATTCTACTCAAAGAAGATGTAGCAGTGGTGGCCCACATCCAAGACTTCATTCCTGAGGAAGGAGGACTTCCTCCACAAGGACCTTATGGATTGTAAGATTGTGCCTCACTTCAAGCTTCATCAGTTTCCACATGCTTCTCCAGGGCAGCCATTGTCTAAATTAAGGAACTGAACTAAGGTCTCAAAAGACAAAATAATCTACAGTCTGATCACCAAGTGACCTGGCCATGTCCTTCATCACAGCCAGGACAGTAGCTTTGCACTTCGGAGATATGTAGGCAAAGTAGCCACAAGGTTTGGCTCAATCTGCTGGACAGTGAGAAAATGAATAACATAGTAACAACATACTGAACATACATAATGAATAATATAGTAACAGGCCTTGGGAGGCAGGCCAGTCCTCGCCCACAGACAATCCGCCAACCTTAAGCATATTCTCACCAGCAACCACACAACGCACCATAACAACTCTAACTCAGGAACTAATCCATGCAACAAACCTCGATGCCAACTCTACACACATCTACACCAGCGACACCATCACAGGACCTAACCAGATCAGCTACAACATCACCGGTTCATTCACCTGCACGTCCACCAATGTTATATATGCCATCATGTGCCAGCAATGCCCCTCTGATATGTACATTGGCCAAACTGAACACTCCCTACGTAAAAGGATAAATGGACACAAAGTCAGATATTAGGAATGGCAATATACAAAAACCTGTAGGAGAACACTTCAACCTCCCTGGCCACACCATAGCAGATTTTAAGGTAGCCATCCTACAGCAAAAAAACTTCAGGACCAGACTTCAGAGAGAAACTGCTGAGCTTCAGTTCATTTGCAAATTTGACACCATCCACTCAGGATTAAACAAAGACTGTGAATGGCTAGCCAGCTACAAAAGCAGTTTCTCCTCCCTTGATGTTCACACCTCAACTGCTAGAAGAGGGCCTCACCCTCCCTGATTGAACTAACCTCGTTATCTCCAGAGTGATTCTTGTCTGCATATTTATATCTGCCTCTGGAAATTTCTATTACATGCGTCTGACGAAGTGGGTATTCACCCACGAAAGCTTATGCTCCAATACATCTGTTAGTTTATAAGGTGCCACAGGACTCTGTTACTTTTTACAGATCCAGACTAACACGGCTACTCCTCTGATAGTAACAACTCTAACTTTAAGAAGCCAACAAACCACCCTCTGAAATGATTTCTGGCAACGAGGTCCTAAACAAAGTCAAGAATTTCTTTTGCTAGCATCTTCTATAAGAGTTCCCCAGAAAGGACACAGGTTTCAACAGAGGAAGATACAGCAAAGAAGGATATGTATGCCATATTTCCAACCAGCTAGTCCCATACCAGACAGCCTGATGACAGCTAGGGTAAACAGACCTACATAATTAGTGGTGGAATCTTTCTTTTCAAAATGGAATGGAACATGCTATATCCAACAAGTGGATTCTGGAAATTCCCCACAGAGATTGTTCCAGAACTTGTGCTGAATTTAACAGATTCATATAGTCTCCCAAATCCAGGAATTTGCAGAAATGCTGCAATCTGTTCTGTGCCATAGAATACCTAATGTCAATAGAGATGTTGGAGTCTGTCCAACAGGGGAACAAAGTAGGCTCTTGGTAATCTATCTTTGTTGTCCCCAAGAAATCAGAGCAATATTGGGCTTGAAGTTCCTTAGCAAAATATTAAATATTTGAAGTTCCACAAAGACATTCCATTCCATAGCTGCAGTAATCCCGAGGATATCATGATGTTGGTAGACTTGACAGAGCCTATATGAAAATCTCAGTTGAGATTCCTCTGCTTCTATTATGACAGAACATATCAATACAAAACACACGTCTGATTGGACTCTTTTCTGCCCCCAGAGTCTTTAAGAAAGTGTAGATCTCTACACTGTTGGTATCTATTTTGACCTATCTGGGATGACATGCTCATCAAGCCAAATGCAGGAGGGACTTGGAGCTGATTATGGAGACCAAGATAAAACTTCTGTTAATTTATCGATTCTTGGTCATCTGCAAGGAAAATGTGGTCACAGTTTAAAAGTTCACCAGCAAGTACTGTTATATATCAACAAAGACAACACATTTCTGCCCTAGGAAGAATTCTTGGAGACCAAGAGACGTAGTGAGTCAAACACAGATGACAAAGGAATCAACTGTACATAATCTGCTCGGACTATGATGTGTGGGTCTCTCGTCCCCATAGTATCAGAGGGGTAGCTGTGTTAGTCTGAATCTGTATAAAGCAACAGAGGGTCCTGTGGCACCTTTAAGACTAACAGAAGTATTGGGAGCGTAAGCTTTCGTGGGTAAGAACCTCACTTCTTCGGATGCAAGCCACAGGACCCTCTGTTGCTTCGTCCCCATAGATCTTTCCAAGTCCTACTTGACACCATTGCAAAAATTCCTGCTGGATCACTGGGTCCCTTCCCACTCAAACATGAACAAGAATCTCTACCTACTTGAGGGTATGACTACACATCAACTGGGAGATGTAGTTCCCAGCTCAGGTAGACATATGTGCGCTATCAGCTCGAGTTAGCGCCTAAAAAATAGCAGTGTGGCAGAGGTTGGGCAGGATAGTACTCTGGCAGCGAGCCCAAGCCACTGCCCGTGCTGTTGTGGACACACTATTTTTAGTGTGCTAGCTCTACCCAAGCTGAGGCTCGCACCTCCCAGCTGCTGTGTAGACATACCCTAACAGACTGAAAAGAAGTGGATGGGTGGAAATGCAACACGTACATGGTGATTCAGGAAAGGGCAGTTAGCCCAATGCAGGACAGCAGTTGCCACTGATGCCAACCTGACCCAAGCTGTTCAATCTAGGTGTGGTCGTCACAACCAGAGGGAAGTGCATCAGCTAGCTTAAACTCAATCTCATGTTTGCTTCCAGCGACATCCCTCTCTGAGGTATTACTAGTGATACTCTTGCCAGAGATTAAGAAATTGGTCTGTTTTACCGAGAGAGATTGCATGTTTTGCAGTCCTGACCTATCCTAATTCTGGGGTAATTTTCAGCAGAGCAAGCTCAGGTTGTAAATTTAGATCATTGGTCTCCTTCAGGCAATAGTAACTTGTACATAGTTGAATTAATGGTACAGTGTTTTTTCTACATGGTTATAGCAAAGGTCATCATATTTTCAAAATTAAAAACTGTGACACTTCCGTAGTATGTTTTTTTTTTCTTTTTCTTTCTTGTTTAAAAGACTCCTATAAAGGACAAAAGTATATTTCTTTAAAAAATTAAATAAATAAAAAGTCCTGGTGTTGCTATTGTCAGTTTCCGACTTGACAGCAAAATGTGCATATTTGCCAAGGTGGAGGATTTCCCCCCCCCCCTCCCCCCCATTACCCTCCCACCCCACCCCCAGTATCTTAGTGTTCTGAATGAGTTTATCATATGACACGGAACAAGTGTTAATCATTCGAGCAAAAGAACAGCTTTGATGGTGTCTACACTCATTTGACTTTCCTCTTCAATCCAAGCACTTAATCACACTGAATGTTCATTCTCCTGGAATCTTCCTGGTAAACACAGAACAAATTCTGTTTGGTACAATGTCGCAGATCCACAGGATCAGTGCTATGCCCCCAGTTTTTGAACAGTCTCTAGGACATTGGTGTGCAACCTGCGGCCCGCGGATCAGGGTAATCCGCGAGACAGTTTGTTTACATTGACCATCCACAGGCATGGCCGCCTGAAGCTCCCAGTGGCCGCAATTCACCATTCCTGGCCAATGGGAGCTGCAGTAATATACTATGCAATTTAGACCCTAGCCTGGGGAATATCTTTAGATGCAAATAAGGAAGTAGAAAGTTGTTTATAAAATGCAGAGCATCTGCAATGCAGAGATCCTCAATTGGTTTGTCAGAAATACTCTAAAACAGGGATACTGAGATGGAGGCTCAAGAGCTGCAAGTGGCTCTTCAATGTGTCTCCTGCGACTCTTTGCAGCACATGATGGTAAAACACTGAGGGATTTAATTATTAACCAATCAGGATGCTTTTTCTCTATTAACCAATTATAGTTGATAAAATAATAATACTTGGTCAGTCATTTTGCTGTGAGAATAACATATATACATAAAAATAGTCAATAAAACAATGAATTCCAATTCCTGTGGCTCTTTTGAATAATGTTGATTGCTAATTTGGCTCCTGAAACACTGAGGACTGAGTATCACTACTCTAAAAGAAATATGAGTGGTCAGGAGAAGGGGTCAAGGATGGTAACATTTTGAAAGAATACATGTTTTCTTTGCTGTATAGGGAAATTGGTCACTGAAAAGATTCAAAATGGACCGCCAAGGTGTGACACAGGTATTGTCCCGCTTGTCTTATATATCTGCTCTGGGAATGATGACAAGAATCTCTTCTCAGTTTGAAAAGACAAGAAAAGTGAGTGGCCCCCGATCTCTTCAGCCCTCTCAGTGGGGTATGCTTTGCCCATCAGACACTCCTGAAGGAGAGGTAAGGAATTTGCATTTTATTTCCCTCACTTTTCCACTCACCCCCAACACCCAGGGAGGCAGGCATAGTGTCTTTTGAACCAGACAGTCCTATATCAGAGGATCAGCTTTGCTGACAATGTTATGGGGAAGAGAAATTGTCCTTCATTACCCCCAAAGGACTGACTCAAAAACTCACGTGAAGCTCCCAGTAGCACAAGTTCTCTTAACCCTCCTGTGAGATCAGAACTTAATTCATTGTTTTATCTACTTTGCCCTATTCTAGAATCTTTTGCTGTCTTTGGCTGATGCTTGAAGTTTGGTTTCTTGCTATACTGCTCTACTTCTTCCCCATCCACAAAGTCATCTCCATTCTTTCCTTCTTCCCTATATTCTCACTCTCTCTGTTCCCCAAAGTCTATCCCCTTTCTTTCCCACAGTGGAGGAGGGGCTGGTGCTTTTGTTCCTGGAGTGGGGGACAGATATCGGAGTTTCCCCTTTCCCACTAGTTTTGATGCTTCGCTGACCCCCTCTCCCAGCTCCTGCTGCAGGGTGCAAGGGAACACTGAGTGCCCAGCTTGCTAAGCCTCAGCTTCCTGCTTACCTAACAGCCTAGGTTTGGCAGGCTACCGCCAGGGGATTGGTCACTTTTTCCCTTTTAAAATTCACAAGTTGGAGCTGCAGGTAAGCACCAATCCCCACCTCTGCCACGGACTTTCTGAGAGACCTGGAGCAAGTCATTGACTCTTTCTGTGCGTTGGTTCCCGGTCTGTAAAATGGGAATAATTATTTGTTTTACCTATTTAGATGTTAAGCTCTGTGGAGCAGGGACTGTTTCTTTCTATGTGC